TTCAAGAGGGAGGGGGGGGGGGGCGAAAAGAGCCTATCGCCTATGGAAGAACTTGTTATGAAGGTTGAGGGACAGGACAAATTGTACGTAAATTTAGTACTTTTAAAGAGAGCGAACACTGGTTCCGATGGAGTAAGTAATGGAGCAAAGATACGTGGCATTCAGGATTTTTAGTTGGTATATGTTTATGAAAGATGTAAGGAAATAAAAAAGGAAAAAGTGAATAAAATAGGATTAAAAACTGAATGGGTATGTTTCGGTCCATCAAGTCGCATACATTCCTGTTCAGCGTTGCAGCTGGACCTCGTCATTGTGACGGTTGCAGCGAAAGTAGCATGCGACCATGCGAGAAAGTAAAATCCGATGGGCAGTGATGTTGGGCGTGCTTTGCTGACGAATCAGCAAATGTCACGTGACAGTGGTGGCGTCCCGTTATGAAACTAAACAATCCCTTACAAAAGAACGGATGGCGCACATACATCGGACAGGCAGTCCTAATAACTGAAGGTGTGCGGTATGCGGTTCAAAAACGGGGGATTTATCGTGGTTGTTCTCGACGTATGAAACGCTCCCAGTAGCATTCACTAACATGAAATAGCCGCCTCGATTTGTTCTGGGGATCACAAAAATAATAAATTTGCTGAATCGAACTAAGAAGTTAAAATTTGGGTTATTTTTCAAATAATTTATCTTTTCAGTACGAAGTGCAAAGCCATTGGGAACCGGTGACAAAAAAGCAAGTTCAGGCAAAGACGTTAATTTCGAAACAGCTGAAATAAGGTATCAATGGTTTTTTTTCCGTAGAATTTTAATACTTGACTTTCCCGGAATTGGTATAGAATCTTATGCCTGGATTTGGCGCAGTTATACCAATCTCTGCTTCGCTTGCCTTCTCGAAAATTGCCCTAGCGACCGTTTTTTTTGAGGATGCCTAGTACAGCTATCAGCCACTCTTCCAAAGACTACAAAGCTGTGCTTTCCACACATAGGTGGATCCAGGACGGCCTTCTGGGAAGGGGGGGTGGGCGAGTGGGGCTTCTATTGGCAGCAAGCGAGTGAAGGGCGACGGGTGGTGCGGAAGAGAGTTTTCTTCAGTTTCATCACTGTTACCTGTGCCGCTGGGAGCGGGAGGGGGGGG